GGAGTAGGTTATTGATTCTCCAGTTGACAGTTTGGAGAGTCCACTCCCATTCCATCTGCTTTCGCAAATCCCAAGCACTTCGATGTGATACCTTCTCATCTCCTTTGCAATCTGGGCTGCCTTACTGGGTTCAAACATCGTGCGGACATTCTATGTCCCCACGTTTACTTTCGCTTTCATCGAAAGAAGACACATCGGCCGATTGGCTTCCCGAAGGCTTTCACCAACTGGCGTCATTTCGCCTCTCCGATTCCAGAGAGGAATAAGTTTGTTTTCAGTTTTTATATTTTGTTTGTGCTTTGAAGTTTCTTTAGCGGTTAGATTTGGTTTACGGGGTAGGGTTGCTAGCCCTATGCCCAACCTTCCCTCTTTACCCGGGCTTAGGACCGGGTAGTAACTAGTGAACTAGTTAACCAGGCGAGGTTATTATACGCAGATAATATAGTCCTATTAGGTGAAGACGCTGACAAGATGCAGAGCATTCTGGACACCTTGAGTAGCGATTTGGGAATGTTTCTCACCACTTAAGTTCAAATTGTTGTCTTCAACGGCACCCCAACTAACAAAAGGAGTGAAGTAGTTGAGTGAGTTGAACACTTCACTTACCTGTGAAGTCAGATAAGTCCTGGTGGGTCAGTGGCTGACGAGACCTCCGCATGGATATAAGGAGTTCGGTTGGTTTTTGCCAACCTACGCCATCTGTGGGGCCGCCGCTATATTTGATTGTCTATTAAGGGTCGACTGTACTGTGCTGCAGTCCGCTCTGTTCGACTGTATGGCTGTGAAACATGTTCATTAAAGGTAGAAGACATGAAAAGTCTTCAGGTGTTTGACCACCGTTGCCTGCGTAGCATAGGCTGTGTTTTGTGGTGTAACCACGTGAGTAATGCAGAAGTCAGATGTAGAGTTTTAGGTAAGAGAGGTAAGACAGCTAATGCAGTTCTGGACCTTCATCGACTGAGATGGCTGGGACATGTGTTACGTATGACTGACCACCGTCTGTCTCATCATACAATGTTTGCCGAAGTAGGTTCAGGCTGGAAAAAGGTTCGTGGCAACCAGACTAAAACATGGCATCAATGCATGAAGTCGTTGACTTTTTGTCTGAGTCATGTAGGGGCGATGAGGACTAGCAGATTGGGGTCTGCGGAACAAGAGAAACCAGTGACTGGAGATTCTAGGTGATATGGCTGGGAACCGATGTCAGTGGCGCAGATGCATACACTTATTATCCTCATCTTAACCGCTTTACTTAGTCTCATCGTTTTCTCACTCCCCATTCCTCTCTCTTAGTACCTTCTACTTCTTTTGATCCATTTTTCTTTCTTGCTTCATCTCCAACTTCATTACCTTGTTACTTTTTGTGTTGATATGACATGTGGCAACTTGAGCCGTTACGTAATAATGCTTGGTCTGATGTTGATTTTGATGACGACGATGATATCTTCCGGACAACCTTGTAGCCTTTTTCTGTTCTTTAACTCATCAATCTTGCGACTACCGTGGGAGATAATAAGCGGAACCCCTCAGTCACTGACATAGGCAACCTCGAAAACACTTATTATATGCCTGATACACATCAACAAACTGGCCTACCAGTAATCTTCTCTGCACAGTCAACTGTCAGTGATGTAGTGGATGACTATGAAAGCATAACAAGAAGAATGAAGAAAGCATAATATTCTTATTTACATTTTGTATCGACTGTACAAAGCGGGAATCTATAGGCAACGGTAAAGTAAGAATGTGTTCAGCATACCAGTAGGTTTATAGTATGTGTGTGACTGGTTTTATCACCAAAAGCAACCGTAAGTAGTTATTTTTCGCTAACCGGTAACAATTTTCCAGTGAAAATAGAGTGGCCAAATGTCCCACCTTAGTTACGTGCTAACGCGTCGAAGCTCTACACTCGCGGTTAATTGGTGTGGGTGTTTGTGCTCCCGGTTAAGAAAACCGGAGATGATATGTGCACTGGTGATTACTGGCTGAGCCTAGTTAGGCAAAGACGATGAGCCTCCTCGCAGCCCCGCTGGATATCAACCAATACACTGTCAGAGTTGACTTAGCAGTAAAAGCGGTTGATGAAATCCATGTATGCTGATCAGTGGTGTGGATCTCCAAAGCACGGATGGGCCAGGTAACAGTTAGGAATCCGTGCAGCGCAACCGGAAGGTGTGGGGGAATCCAGGCTCCTAATCACTGTTGTTGAAGCAGTTTCAAGAAGAATGGTGTAGTTAACCTTGCGAATGTGGGCGGTGGGTATTGTTAGTTCTGGTACAGGTCTTAGACAGATAGCCTGGAAGCATACCCCGCTTCTGAAATGTTGGTAAGAAGGGAATAATCTTCCGGATATATGTGCCACATCTCTTCTGCAAGTGTGGAGACTTTGTGAGACGTATCCCACAGACAGGTTAATACGATTAACGATCCGGTTATCCGACTAATGTGGATTCATTGAAGCCCGAGGTATAAAAGGGTTTCGGGATCCAGTGATCAGTTTTGAGGGAGTTTTAATATAGCACTCTGGCAAGAGTATTCGTTTTCATGCGCATGAATCGCTTTGTTGTTTTCTGCTCAGTGAAGGGACCGATCCTCCAGGTTCTTGGAACCATAAGCTGAGTCAAAAAGTGGAAGAAAACTCTCTAAACAGTCTTTTTCACTGAAAACAGAGATGGCTAAAAGAGGCTGATATAACATAGTCACGCTGGAGTTTTTCATTCGTTTTTGTTGTGGTAATAACCTCATTTATAGCTTTGCATACGGAAGAAAGACATCTTTGTGATCATTCTAAACCCGAAACCCGTTTTCAGCATCAAAAATTCTAAATGATCCAGATAACGAACTGACGAAAGTTAGCTCATCAGGAGGCGGGTATAACGCGAGAGACTGAAGATCGTTGACTCATATTGGTAATGATTCCTGCTAAACAATATGAATTAGCACTTTGGTCATATATACAGTAATTTCAATATTCTACCTAAATAAAATGAATGCAAAGTTTCATTTCTCGTTTAAAATACTCTATTCCTACGTATGTTTTCCTAAACGAACGATTTAGTGTAATCACAGCTGGTCATAAACAATTTGCTCTCCGAAGTGATTAGTTATTCCAAAAGGTCATTTAAGGTCACTACAACATACATAAGGTCATGAAGATCTGAAGCAGAAATCAGTCAGACAACTTTGACCAATTTGCGAACAAGATAATGCTAAAAGCATGAGTCAAGTGTTTTCTTTTCTGTTTCTAAAAGAGTTTAATAAAATGCTTCAAGTTGAAATCGTAAATATTATCTTAAAATGTGATGCAATAACAAAAGGTGTATTGATTGGTGAAAAGAAATACATTAAAAGTTCTATCCTTGTAATCGATCCCAACCATTCAAACGACCTAAGCAATGGTTTTGAAGTTGTTTATCGAATTCGCTCAAACATCTCAAGTTTTCTGCGTCTTTAACTTCTAAAAACAGCAGAGGCCTTGGCTATCCATGAACTGAAGCCTGATTTTGGTGTGCAAAGTAAGCACATATAGTCTTTGTCTCTACCCTGGCCTTAATTTGATCGTGCGTTGTTTCGCTTCGTTCTTTCCACAACTCCCTTTGCAAGATTAATTTTTATGCTCTTATATCATTATTATCAGCTTTATTTTTACATATAATCGTTTCCAGTGTTACTTTGTTTAATCTTCCCATTAATTGCAACTTTTAACAAAACATTTTCATTTTACCCCAATCCTTTAATTTTTTATTAACTCAATCATGTTTTTACCCCTTTGCAATCTACATGCAACCTATGGACGACTTAAAAATTCTGTATTGCCCCCCTTTTGTTACTAAACAACCTTTACGTCATCAGCTAGCAAATTTATTATAGCTATAACCAACATAGCTTTGATTCTCTTTACGCTATAGCTTGTACGCTTCCGTCAGTGATTGCAGAGAATTGACCGGTCAGCATTGGTATATGGGCTGTTGTGCGGATGCCTCAACATTGCCGGTAATTTCAGTTTTGATATTAATATTGGATAGTGGCTAGCAGTGACATCCAGGATGCACGTTTCGTCCTACTTGGGACTCGTCAGCTGGATATTCCTGCCTCTCAGTGGGTGGTGTTATCCCAACATCCAACCAACGACAGGAAATTACAAGCAATAATGTCAAAACCGAACTCTTCGAACAAGGAGTGAATATCATGACTCAGTGGATGACGCTTTGGTGTTTGAAGCGACCGGTCCTCGGTTCCAGTCTTAGAGGGAACAATACCACTCAGTCAGAGGCAGGTGCCTCCAGCTGATAAGTCCCGAATAGGACGAAACATGTGTCCCGGATTCCAATGATAGCTAGTATTCATGATTCAAATAACCATCATGGTTGTTGTTTCGTTGGAAAGAGTCCTCTTCACTAAATGTCTTGTTTTTGATGTCACAATGAGCATTATGGATTTGTTAAATGATTGTTAAACTCTTTAAACACTCTTAATTTCTGCTGCGGTTAAAGAATTATTTAGTACTTCGAATGAGTGTGCATTTTTTGACTGACTTTAAAAGTAATTCCAGCAAATACTGAAGTGAATAATTAGGTTTGTTTATTCTGTCTGGAAAGGTAACTTTCTTCGTAAAATGAGGAGATCAATGATATAGGTAAACATCCACTGTCAAACCTAAGATTTTATCGAACGCCAAGATCATAGATTTCTACTGCAACTACGGGTAACTCTCCTTGAAGCCGGTCACCAGTGAGCATTGAATTGCTAATAGGTTGAGCGGTTTGTAAGGAATGCTCAATGCACTCTTGTTTTTAATGGTTTTCGAATTGGCGTCAATCAGTGGTGAGAAATGGGATGAAACCAATCAGTTCCACTAAAACCATTCAAGTAAAGTTAAAACTTATAGTTAGACTGACCAATCAATGAAAAATGGTTACCAGTGAATATATAGCAGTTATTAGTGTTCATAAAAACAAATAAGCGTATGTGAATTTGGTATTAAGAAAGTGAGCGCTTACTTATTGTAAATCTCCATCAATTGTTCAGATAAAAGTTTCCCTTCACGACCAACATGGGCAGCTAATTCAGCCATAACTGCTAGAGCTCCAACACCATCTTTATCCCAGACAACATCACCACACATAAAACCTGGTAAGTGTAAATTTATGGTGTGGAATTACGTCAGCACAATATCCGTAATGAACAAAACACCCTCAGTAATCGAAATTAAACTAAAATCTGGTTAGTAGATGGGTCCCGTAGTTCGATTGGTAGAACGTTTGGCTGGTGTTCTGGAAGCGGCAACCTAGGTTTTCCCTCCATCTTCAGTCATCAAATCAGTATCAATTGATTATTGATTTCAGCTTGGTATTCATTATGGATTGACATCAAATGGAGAAACGTTGGAAATCTGGGAGCACTGGAAAGTTTAGTTCCAGTATGGGACTCCTCAGTGGTGAGCAACAACGACCCCGCTAGCGATCGAACCCAGAACCTCTGCGACCAGTAGGTTAACACTGAGGCAATCGGTCGGAATCCAATGGTCCATATTTCCTACTTTTGCCAGCTCACGATATAACGTTACCTCCATCCCATACCGCTGTTGGGTAACTACTATCCTCATGTTCAACTTGGTTGGCCCCAGTGGTAACTAATTAATTATGTTTAAAATACTGGGATAAGGGTAACAGTCTTGGGTCAGAGTGAAAGTAAATGGATATTAAAAGAATTATTTCCATCGATTGACTGAATAATTCAGGTTGTCAGACTCCACAAATGCATCACAACAAACATAGGATAAATTTAAGTAGACGAAAAATGTCACTGGATAGAAAATAAGTAAGACCCTATATCTCCATAACTGCCATCGTCTAAGAACTCATTTCTACATTCCAGACCAATGAGTTCCTTATATAATCTAGATATATATTCAAAGGCTTCATGGATCAATGTCCTGTTTTGGCAATGAGACTTTATTCATCTTACTTCTGGATTGCAAATAACGCGAAAGACTAAAAAATAACGGTGACTGAAGAATAACGTGGATATTTAGTTCTCTTCGCGTAAGGCAGCACACTTTAACTTAGTTTTGTACACCTTACGGTACAAAAACAGTAGTCAAAGTCACCGCACTTTGCTACATCAGAGAGTGAAAAAAAAGAAATTGATGCAAAATAATAAACGGTTCAAGATTCAAAAGAAAAAATAAATAGTATAACTCACTATAACTGTAATCTATCCAGTTACTACTAACTGTTTGTTTGGATTAAAGTGCATGAATCTCAAGAGTAACGACTAACAATGTAATTTAAAGCTTGAGTAATGAAAGATGATGTCAACTTTACCTATAGCTTCTTCGAAAGCGAAAACTGTTGTGATATTCTGGGAATCCAGATCACATGATCGATTACCCAACCATTTAAACCAGTCAAAGTTTCTTCAAAACGAAATCCTTCACGTTTGGCAATAGCTTGCAATATTTTCGAAGAAACAGTACTGGACAACATGACAGCATTAGAGTCTGCAAAAACAAAACAGTAATAAAAAACAACTTCATTGAAATATTGAGTAGAAGTGAAAGAATTCAATAATCTAATGTAAGTAACTGGTGGCTTTGAATGTTAATAAGCGAACTTTTTAACGATATCATAAAGGAGTCATATAATGATAAAAAGTGTATCCTGTTGCTTAGTTAGCTGCAGGAAGTCCTATACAAGTCGAAATTCAAGAGTTACTATCACACTGATCTGAAAGGAAATCTGTGTCAAGTTAGGAGACCACTGCTCCAAATCTTATCATGAGACAAACATAGTTCGAAAGCAACCTGAAAAAAGATTCTGAGCCAGGTTTTGTAGTTGAGCTAATAGAGTACCTGATTAGTAAATTGGAAAATAGAAGTAACTTACTGAAGTCTACAAATCAAGATTATTCTACAAAGCCTCTATACATTGATAGTTATGTTTGTTATTTGTTTGGTAAGTACGAAATAATTGATTATCCTTAAGGTAGTATTCATCACGGATTGACATTAGCTGGAGAATCATTGAAAACCTGAGAGCACAAGAAAGTTGTTTTGTCTGAGTATGAGATTCTTCAGTAATCCCCACTCACGAACTGGCCACTTTTCGCCAGGGATTCAATTCAAAATCTCCAGGTTTCATGGCAAGCACGTTAACCGTTCAGCCACAGGGTCAAAATCCAATGGTCAATAGTTCCCCAATTCTGTCAATTAACTGTATAGCGCTACTAACCACCAAAGTCTTCAGTTGGAATTCGCTTCACTTGCAAATGAAAGACCCAACAGGTCATGGTTTCGCAACAGAACTTCGGGATATCCATCTTGATACAAGTAACGAGCACTACACAGTGATGCAGTTGGAGTTGTATGGGGATTTTGTTTTCAAGGTAGTATTTAACATGAATTGACATCAGTTACATACTACTGAGTCGCATGATAATAGGACGAAACAGCTGTTCCATGCTCCCAGGTTTCCAATGATTCTCTAACTAATGTCAGTCCATGATAAATACTGCCTTAAAATGATACATCTGATTTAATCCGAACCATAAGCAAGTTTCCAGTACGGAATTCTCAGCATGTGATATTTCATAAATTAACTCACTGTACATTTTTCGAATATATATTAACAATGATACTGGTTCCTAATATGTAATAAAGATTAACAGGATTTTTAAATGTTAAACGACTTCAGGGACATGACAACTGCTCGCCATTGCAAGTTACTTGATAAGACTTTGTCGAACGTGATTTTCTTCACACAATACACAAAGTAAATAAGGTATGATTGAATTTTTGTATATAGTTGTGCATGCTTAGAGGTCAGTGTATTTGCTTTTTGTCTTCCCAGAGGACGGACATGGAAAGAGGTGCGGATATAGAGGATGCCTGACATCAGATAAAATATTTTTAGCCAGTAGTCTACAAGAGTTCAGATGCCTATCCATGACTGCATTTATCACCACTATTTGTGGTGTACCACTTGCTCTACTAACAGCCTTCAAAGTCCCACGCAATACAAAAGTAGTCACTTCCCCAGAGTCCAGGAAAGAATAAGGCGAAATAATAACCTAGTATAAGCATGACAAGAATTCATGAGAAGTAACAGCAGAAGTTAACATCGCCTGGTTAACTAGTTCACTAGTTACTACCCGGTCCTAAGCCCGGGTAAAGAGGGAAGGTTGGGCATAGGGCTAGCAACCCTACCCCGTAAACCAAATCTAACCGCTAAAGAAACTTCAAAGCACAAACAAAATATAAAAACTGAAAACAAACTTATTCCTCTCTGGAATCGGAGAGGCGAAATGACGCCAGTTGGTGAAAGCCTTCGGGAAGCCAATCGGCCGATGTGTCTTCTTTCGATGAAAGCGAAAGTAAACGTGGGGACATAGAATGTCCGCACGATGTTTGAACCCAGTAAGGCAGCCCAGATTGCAAAGGAGATGAGAAGGTATCACATCGAAGTGCTTGGGATTTGCGAAAGCAGATGGAATGGGAGTGGACTCTCCAAACTGTCAACTGGAGAATCAATAACCTACTCCGATATTGTCAACCAGACGATAACCACGGGCATACTGAGTTATGGAGTGGCTATCATGATGTCCCCAAGAGCATCGAAGGATCTCATGCAGTGGGAACCAATCTCCTCCTGCATCAGGATCATGACAGCAAGATTCAACTCAAAAGGAAGGAAGGTCACAATCACACAATGCTATGCACCTACAAATAATGCAGAGCAAGAGAAAAAGGAGGAATTCTACAGACAACTTCAATCAACACTGGACAAGACGTCAGTTGGCAATATCAAAATTCTAATGGGCGACATGAATGCCAAACTCGGAGCGGACAACACAGGAAAAAAACTAACCATGGGTCGAGAGGCGCTAGGTGAAATGAACGAGAATGGAGAATTGTTTGCAGAATTCTGTGCATTCAACGATTTGGTGATTGGAGGCACTGTGTTCAAGCACAAGGGTATCCACAAAGCGACATGGATTTCACCAGATGGACACACTAAAAATCAAATCGACTTTATCTCAATCTCGAGAAAATGGAGACGCAGTCTACTTGACACAAGGTCAAGAAGAGGAACAGATGTAGGCTCAGACCACTCACTGTCTAGTGCAAGGAACCTTCCAAATCAAGTTAAAAGCCTCCAAAGAAGTTGGCGATAGACCACAGTTGAAGTACAACACTCGGAAACTGAAGGATGAAACTACAAAAGACATCTTCACGTCAGCCATCAAGACAAAATGGGAGATATCAAGGAACATCCCTGAAGAAACCTGTTTGGAAGAACACTAGAAGTCTTTGAAAGAGATGTGGAAAGAAACCTGCACAACCGTATTAGGAAGGAAGAAGAAAGAAGATAAGGAATGGATCTCGACGGATACCTGGAAGCTGATAGAGAAGGGAGAGGAGGATGGTGAAACAGAAGATAAACCAGTGCAAGGATGCTCAACGACAAGAGGAACTGAGCACAATGTATAAAACACTGGACAAAGAAGTGAAGAAGAGTGCACGGAAAAACAAAAGACACTTCTACGAAACACTGGCAAGTGAAGCAGAACAGGCTGCAGGTAAGAGAGACCTGACAACATTGTATCAAATAACCAGGGATGGTAGAGATGGTAGATGCTAGAGATCAACGCAGACGAAACCAATAAAAGATGATGGAGGAAATTTAATTACCAAAGAAGAGAAACAAAGGAAACGATGGGCCGACCACTTCAAGAAGCTCTTGAATCGACCACCACCTGCACTTCGTCCAGAAATACCACCTGCAGCCGCTGAACTATAAGTGAACATAAATCCTCCAACAAAAATGGAAGTCCTGAACGCCATAAAGCTACTGAAATGTGGGAAAGCATCAGGACGAGATGGGATCCCGCCAGAAGCACTGAGAGCAGATGCAGAGACAACAGCAACATGCTCACACCACTATTGCAGAAGGTGTGGAAGGAAAAGAAGGTACCTGCAGATTGAAAAAACGGTTACCTTGTCAAACTCCCGAAGAAGGGAGACCTCAGTGTTTGCAACAACTGGCACGGAATCACTCTCCTGTCCACCCCAAGCAAAATATTAAGCCGCATCATCCCGGAGAGACTAAAGGATGCACTGGATTCAAAACTATGACCGGAACAGGCTGGCTGGATTCAGGAAGTACAAATCATGTGGACCAAATTGCAACGCTTCGCATCATCTCATCATGGCATCATCGCATCATCATGGCAGTCAACTCTCTACCTTACCTCAACTTCATCCACTTTGAAAACGCCTTTGACAGCGTCGACCGAGAGGTAATTTGGAAACTGCTTCATTACTACGGAGTACTGCAAACCTTTATCCGCCTCATTCAACAACTATATGAAGACTCCACATGCCAAGTAATTCACAATGGGAAGCTCAGTGATGATTTTGAAGTGAAGACAGGAGTGAAACAAGGTTTCCTACTATCCCCCATGATATTCCTGATTGTGGTCGACTGGATCATGCAGCAAACAGTGGGGAGCGAGAAGAGGGGGATACGCTGGCTGGACAGCGGAAAAGAACCTAGAAGATCTGGATTTCACCGATGACTTGTGCCTGATGTCACACAAACTTGAGGATCTGCAGGCGAAAACTAACAAGTTGGCAGGAGAGGCAGCGAAGACGGGACTTCAGGTGAATATAGAGAATACAGAAGTGATGAAGATACCGCACCAACAACTCCAACAACAACAACAACAAACTCCAGTCACCATCAACGGGAGAAGCCTAAAGGAAGTAGCCTCCTTCACCTTCACCTATCTAGACAGCACTGTCCCAACTATAGGCGGCACAGACGAGGATGTCAAAGTCAGAATTGGAAAAGCAAGACAGGCCTTCATCAGCCTGAAACCAGTGTGGAGATCTTCTGCACTCAGCATGCGGAACAAGATACGGATTTACAACACCAACGTCAAGTCAGTGCTTCTGTATGGTTCAGAGACTTGGCGCGTCACGAAAGGGATTTCCAATAAACTACAGACATTCATCAACAACTGCTTACGCTCGCTACTGAAGATCAGATGGCCAGAAAGAATAAGCAACAAGGAGCTCTGGGAACGAACCAACCAAGAACCTACCACGCAACAAATATGCAGGAGGAAGTGGAGATGGATTGGGCATGCACTGAGAAGGCCGACTGAGGACATCATGCGTCAGGCCCTCGAGTGGAATCCCCATGGGAAGCGACGAGTTGGGCGTCCGAGGGTGACATGGAGGAGATCGTGCGAGGAGGAAATGAGAGCTTCTGGGCTGTCGTGGAGCCAGGTTCAAAAGATTTCGCAGAACAGAGTTCACTGGAGACGTGCTACTGAAGCCGTATGTTCCATAAGAAACCCAAGTGATTAATAAATAATAATAATAATAATAATAATAATAATAATAATAATAAGAGTAGAAGTTGAGTTAGGCCAGACAGCCTGTTTTTTTATATAGAGGTCAAGTGAAGGATTTTTCTGGAAATCAGTAAGATATGAAGGGACCAAGAATGATAGGAAGAAAAGTATAAGCCAAGATGGATCACACTTGATACATTCTCTACAATACAGCCGTTTATAGGACAAGAGTCATGGGAGTGAAGCAATTTGAGGGTCTTGTTCACATCTTAAGGTAAAGTTAACTATCTGACATTTTGAAGGATTGAGCGTAAGGCCAGTTAAAGAAAATCAGTGACCAATTTCGGTTAAGAAGTTATTAAACTGAGAACAATTTGAAGAAGGGATGATCGGCAGGGCTGCTACCAAGTCATCTGCGTACTTAACAAAGTTAGCTTTAGCTGAGGTGGATAGGTCATGCAAATAGAAAAAGAAAGTGATAAAGAACAGCACCTTGGAGGACATCGATTTCACTAACTAGCAAAGTAGAGCACTTCTCGAAGCATAGAATGTACTGTTTTCATATCGTTCTGCTTTATAAACTATATCAGGGAGTCCTCATCTTTTAGTTAGGAAAAAGAATCCATCCTTTCCTTTTGAAGACACATTAAGAAAGGTAAGTAACCAAAAAAATTCACTCATACACAAGCAGATCTCTTCTCTCTCTATATGGTTACATCCTTATTTCAACTGGAATAGATTCACATGGTTATTACGTTCGCTGAAAGAAAGCAGAACTTGTAGCCAGATGAATAATAAACTCTGATTTATTTTCAGGCTGTCTGTCGCACTTTATTTACATACATAACTATTCATAAATAATCTCTGCTTTGTATGTACAGTAATCAACATGACCTTAAGTAGATAAGGTAAAATAAGTATAATCTATTATTTGATAAGTATTTGTTGACAACGTAGATTAGAGTAGACCCATTCATGGTCCTTATAGTTTTTTACATACCAAAAACTATACTTATGAGTTAACTAGCATTAAATTTCAACGCTCATTGTATTTTTAAGTTAAAAGAAGAAAAAATTGTATGACAGACCTGCGTTCCGACTGTGTCACGATTCAAATATGCTTCTAACTTCAATCACACTATGCCGCTACATCAAAACCACTCTTGTAGACAAAGCTATTTCAAATGATTTTCAATAGTTGTACCATCATAGACTATAGTTACAATAAACAAACACACTGTCGGTTAATACATCACAACTAGGCCACCATAAAATGATTTACAGCAAGAGAGACAGAGAGTATCGTTAACCATTATGAAGGAAATAAATTAAATGATAATCATAATAAGTGGTAATGATGGTGTGTATATATAAATCCAGTAAAATAGCATGCAATACCAGGATTTGAATTGATGAGTCGTTAAATCCCTGGTAACGTGAAAATCATGAATCTCTACTTGTTTTTAGGCGTTCGATACAACTCGACAGGTGGTTTTGAAGACGAACTTCTGAGGTCTAGTGAGCACAGTTGGTTAAATGTTGAAAACAACAGCTTTTAACTGACCTACACTCTCCTTTAAGCAACCAGGCAGGGTAATATTCAAGGATGTATTTCTAAAGAATACATTTCTAACACCTAATATAGCCAACTTTCAAAGAGTACAAAAGCTGATAGACATTTATGAAAATGGTCTAAGACGGTAACTTGTTATTCACACATCTATGGATTACTTAGAGACGAAAAACCGTAGGGTGGAAGGGGAAGAATTTCTTCTAAATACTCTGGACACTTGATTACTTAGTACTTTTGCACCGGTGTCCTCTCCAGAAACACTGTTCCAATGACTAACATCCATAACCCCAAACAACTTTTGAAACGAAACGCAGTCTTTGAAAGGCGAATGCACCAACTTCGCAAAATTACTCATTCATTGCATTTAGACACCAGTAATGTCTGTATAATGTTATTCAGACCCAGTGCAAGATAAATTCTTTTTGAAACGATGTTTACTTTTGACTTTTCCAAAGAATCATTTCAAATTCTGCTGAAAACTCACCACAAGTCCATCAGACTGAATTTAGTTATCCCCGCTCGAAACAAACCTATTCTCAAGTTCACGTTTTTAACTAGTTTTGGATCGATTATTTGAATTTCTCAATCATATCAAAATTATCTCATTTTACAGTTAATTTTTACTAACTTTTCCCCATTGGTGCAGCTTAATTCTAACAGTTAGTTATATGACTTATGACAAGCTTCACTGATATATCACTCATTTACTTCAATTGTTAGCTAACTAAAAAACCTGAACATAGTAGATTAGTGACTTTCTTCTGTGTTTTCTGACCTTGTAGGAGACATTTCTCGCATTATATAAACCATTCACCGATGATGAACAGATCCTGAACCTGGCATTTGGAAACCTACATCAGGTTTCATTTCACTGCATAATCATGCGTCAGAATACTAAACAGACCATGTTGTATTTAATATTTCTGTTGAGTATACCAGTAAAACAGGAAACGCAGGCATTTTTACACCTGCATATCAGCAGGTAACTTAATAGATGACAGTAACAGCAAAACACAAAGACAAATCACCTGGATGTAACTGCACCCCAGTGAGTGGTGTTGCTCTTACTGAGATTCGAAATCAGTATCTATCATTCCAAATGCCGAAGCGCAATCTACTAGGTACATCCTCTACGTACGCCACATACATTCAGCTGACGAGTCCCGAATAGAACGAAACGTGCGTCGCGACTCACCTGCAAGTCAACAAGTAGACTACAAGATAACGAATGTCCGAACAGCGTACAGGCATACACACAGGAGCCCATCTGAAAACACAAGTCGAGCAACTCAACACAACAAAACCAACGGGAAATCACAAGTATCGATGAACAAAGACCAATTCCGCAATGTATGCACATTGGAACCTCGCCTTGTTAACTAGTTCACTAGTTACTACCCGGTCCTAAGCCCGGGTAAAGAGGGAAGGT